CACACACACACACACACACACACACACACACACACACACACACACACTCTCTCTCTCTCTCTCTCTCTCTCTCTCTCTCTCTCTCTCCCCACTCTCTCACACACACACACACTCTCTCTCTCTCTCTCTGTTTCACTCACTCACACACACACTTTCTCAAACTCTCACCCTTCCACTCACCCACACTCTTTCAAACACACGCGCATCAATGTTCGTTGTTGGGGTCGAACAACGCGAGCATGTGTGGCGGCAGCTTGCCCACATCTCGCAGTTGTCGCTCGCGCTCACGAATGCTGAAGTCAAACTGCCCAAGACGGCCAGGCCGCCGCTGTTCCTCCTCTTCAGCACGCAGCCTTGCCGCTTGTTCTTGCTCCCTCGACTTTACCAGCAGGCGTTGTAACTCCCACTGGCGCTGTGCCTCCGCGCCCGCAACGGAATCGCTCAGGCGCTGCAGAAGCCCAAGGGCTTGCTCCAGCTCTTCCTCAACCTCAGCTGCAAGCCTGTCAGCTGCAAGCTGGGCGTTGTCGTACATGTCTTCTTCGCCCCGCTGCAGTGCGTCGTCAGACCCTGTTAGCCGGTAGCCGCGATCTTCGGACTCATTCGCTCGATCTTCATCGAAGTCAGCGTCAGCGAGAGCATCCAAGTCCAACACGTCGTCGTCGCCATCATCATTGCCTGCACCTTCAGTGGTGCTGTTGCCTTGCGAGAAGGATCCCATTTGCATGAGCATGTCCAGCTCCGCCTGCTGCTGATCCTCTTCCTCCTCCTCTTCCTCTTCCTCTTCCTCCTCCTCTTGTTCTTCCTCTTGTTCTTCCTCTTCCTCCTCTTCCCATTCCTCGTCTTCGCTCTCGGTCGGCGTCAGCCCACCGTGCACAGACTCGTCCTCGCTGTGCAAATCCGACGGCACATGCAGGTAAACCGGCAATGTTGATTGCTGCTGTTGCTCATGGCCCACACCGTGGTGATAGTCCTCATGCACCGACTCGTCATCGCTGTACAAGTCGTGCGGCGCATGCAGATAGTCTGGCAGCAGCGAGCGCTGTTGTTGCTGCTCCAACAGCGCCACCACGGCGCCATGGCGCCGGCGCCGTGCAATGTCGACTGCCAATGCGCCATCTTGGTCCTCAGCGTCAACGTCTGCTCCATATTGCAGCAGCGCACGCGTGCACTCCAGCGATCCACCAAAGGCCGCCAGGTGCAGGGGGGTGCGTCCGCGAATGTCAACCGTGTGCACCTCGGCGCATGGCGCAGGTGACAGCAGCAGCAGCGCCGTCTCAACATGGCCACCCATGCACGCGCAGTGCAGCGGAAGCCACATGAGCGTGCGGTCCACGCACGTCTTCGACGCACCGTGCTCCAGCAGGAGCCGAACAACCTGAACATGCCCGCGCATGGCAGCAAAGTGCAGCGCAGAGAAGCCCTGGCACTCCACGGCGTCCACCTCAGCTCCGTGCGACAGCAGCCAGCGAACAGCGCTCACATGCCCGGCCAACGCGGCGTGGTGGAGCGGGGTGGAGTGGGAGATGGGCGACCGCAGATTCATGGTCGTGTGCTTTGCAAGCTTCTTCAGCACCTGCGTGCAGCCGTGCTTGGCCGCAAGGTGCACGGCACTCAGTTCGCGGTTGTGGTCGCTTCCGTTGGCCACCGCACCCTTCTCGATCAACGCGCTGATGTGCGAGATGCTGTTCTCCACAGCCGCCAGCCGCAGCGCCAAGTTCACGTCCTGCAGCGCAAGCTGATCAACTTGCTGCGGCCCAAAGGAGATGTCGAGGTACCCATGCGCAACAGGGTTCACGCGCTCCACCACAAACCCAAACGGGTCTGTGACAGGCCCTTCATCAAGCACTTCGCCATCGTGCTCCAACCCTGTCTCGCCATCGCCAAGGCCAGCCTCATCCAGAATCATCTCAAACTCGCTCGTGTCGTCGGCATTCTGCTCCGGGCCGCTCACGGGCGCGCGGGCCTGTCCGCCCCAGTGCGCGCTTAGCATGTCAAGCAGAGCGCCAGCGTCAATGAGCAGCAGGTCCAGGAACGCCTTGACCGGTGGGCGGCCAACATCGCTGTCGTCGTAGTCATCGTCCTCCAATTCGTCAGCGAAATCAGATTCCGAAGAATTTGACGCATTCGAGTCAGCAAGCGTGCCCTCCATGGATTTGTTGGGGATCATGTGCCCAAATGCGCGGCTGCCCCATGCTGTTGGTCGCCGCGCCCACGTATGCGACTCGGGTAGTACCTCCTGCAATAGTCAAAGCAGCCCGCAAGCAACAAAAAGCAACGTCAGCCCACACAACCCATTCGAACAATAATCACACGCAATCACCGCAATGGATGGCATTGCCAGTTCAGCACAACTCGCAAGTGCTGGTCACGACTACGCAGGCTGAAGACGAAGCACATTGCATAGCAACGCCATTCTCAACCCTTAACCCTCAACACACACACACACACACACACACACACACACACACACACACACACACACACACACACACACACACACAACAACACACACACACACACACGACACAACGACGACGACGACGAC